TGAGGGACAGGCCCGACTTCATCCTGAGTCGTTTTTGTTGACGCTCCCGAGGCCCTGCGAGGGCCCCCGGAGGCCGACCACGGCCAACAGCCCGCCGCTCCAGCTGTCCCGGGGATCGTCGCAGATCTCTGGGGAGGAGGCCCGCCCCTCCGCACTGCCGCCCGGGGCCGGGGCCCGCCGCCGAGAGGGGCCGGTGACTGGCCACCTGTGCCACACGGTGTGGGCATTGGGTACGGGCCATGTCGCTCCCATCGTACTGAAGGACCACACCCCAGACATGAGTTCGAGCACCCGGAGAAGTGTGGAGAGAGTGTCGAGAGAGTGTCGAAACAGTGTCGGACGAGTGCTCCCGGGCCCGACACGCGAAAGCCCTCGAGATTTAGAGATTTGTTCAGGTCCTCGAAATTCTTTCTGGCGGTCAAGGCTAAAGCAGGTTGGAACATCATAAGAGAAGGAAGCCCTTCCATCAGAACTCCAGGGTCTGGAAGCCAGTGAAACTCCAATCGTGGATTGGCCATGGACATCACCGCCGCCCTCATTGGACAAGGAACCCTGCCGCCCTCAACGGAAAAGGAACCCTCCAGGGTCTGAAGCCTCCTGGGACTACTCCTTGACGAACGCGTCCACCGTATGGCAAGTCTCGGCCATGCGTGCGCGGCCTCACACGACGAGGGCGCTCGAGGCGCCACAAACAAAACACGGGCGGGCGCAGCCACGGCCGGCCCGTTCCATACAGCAGGTTCTCGGCCACAAGAAACCGTTTCACGAGGAACCCAAACCCTGAGACCCCAGGACGTCCATTGATGTCTGGCGTGGGAGCGCCAAGCCTTCCATAGCAGAGCCATCGAACACCAAGAAACCCAGGGGTCCCTGGAAGCAAGCAGGGTGCTTCTTGGCATGGGCTGCCGCTGCATGCGAGCCCCCTCCGCGACGACGCCCTCGCCTCTCTCGACACTTCCTCCCGTCGCCCGCGCACGTCTTGGAGCGCGGCGAGGGGGTCAGCCTGCCAGGGGTCGGCGAAGCCGCCCTGGACACACGGGGGGGCCCTCGATCTCGCCGGGTCGACCTCCCAGTCTGACCCGGCTGCAGCCCTCTCGGGGGGCCCCTCTCGACGCCGTCCGCGCCGCGCCGACGACGCGCCGCCGCCGCCGACGACTCCGCCGACGCCGACACCGCCGACGATGCCGCCGACGACGCCGCCGACGACCTCTGTATCCACTACCTTCGCCTGCGGGGTCGACCTTCGGGGGCCTCCGCAGCAGAGGATGTGTGTGTGTGTGTGTTGCCCCCCTGGGGCACGAACATATCGACGTCCGCCTCCTGCCACGGCCCCCAGAGGTCGATCCCCCAGCAGGCGGTGATGGACGAATCCTCGTCTCGGACTCGCTGCGGGGTCGCCCTGCCGATCAGACCCAGCTGTAGTTGACCCCGACGCAAGAGCAACCCTAGACGATAGTGACTTTTGGTGCACAGCGCCAGGGGTCCTCGGAGGCGGGCAGATCCAAGCGTGTAGGCCCGTGCTGAGATGACCGCTGTGAGCCCGCACAGGAGGTCACTGTACATCACGTGGCGACGGGTCACTCTTACGCCTGGCCCAGCAAGGAAACCCGAAGATACCGATACCGCCACTCCCCTGACCTCTCCCAGGGCGCGTTCTGACCAGAATTTCGAGATGAATCCAGCGGTGGCGACGAGGGCCTCCCAGGGGGGCCCTAGCAAAGGGGAAACAACGATCCATGCAACTGGCCGCTCTAACTTGTGCCGATGCGTGGGCCCGCGGAGGTCCAGACCACTTCCCAGGGGCCGGTGTTTCGTCCCGAGTCGCTTCTTGACGCTCCCGCGAGGCCCAACGAGGGCCCCCGGAGGCCGAACACTGCCAACATCCCGCCGCGCCAACTCTTCGCTGGGGCCTCGGCTCGCTCTGGGGAGGCCAGGGGCAGCGGCATTGGGTACTCCAGATTTCGTAATAAAGGGAGGGGGGTCTCATTTCGGGGGGGGGGGGGTCTCTTCCAGGCTTGTCTTGGAGGGCCTGGGGGGGTCTGGGGACGATGTTTTGGAGGGTTCTCCCACGGGGGAGGTCTGAAATGGCTTGTCTTGGAGGGCCCAGACCCCCTCCCTTCTATTACGAAATCTGGGGTGCCTCGAGGACGTCTCTCCTCCTCCTCCTCCTCCTCCTCCTCCTCCTCCTCCTGCTCCTCCTCCTCCTCCTCCAGCATTTGGGGTAATTACCTCTTCCTCCTCCGACCCCTGGGCCCCCCCCCCCCGCCGCACCGTCAGCGCCGCGCCCCGCCCGGGGCGCGCTCTCCACAGCGCGTCCCTCGCGCCGACGTCTCCTCGCGCGCCCGCCGCCGGGGAGGGCTCGGCCCGGACAGGCGACGCCCGGATGTTTGGCAGCACGGCCTCCCCGGAAGGATCCAGACCCTTCCCCCTGGGGCCGGCTCTTCATCCCTGAGTCGTTCTCTGGACGCTCCGGGGGCCCAGCGAGGGCCCCCCGCGGGGCCGAGAATGGCCAAAAACCTCCCGCCCGGATTTTTGCACGAAGATCCTTCCCCCAAGGCCGGCTCTTCATCCTGAGTCGTTCTTTGGACGGTCCCGGGGCCCGGCGAGGGCCCCCCGAGGCCGAGGAGGAGGAGGAGGAGGAGGAGGAGGAGGAGGGGAGGAGGGGGGGAGGGGGAGGGGGAGGGGAAGAGGGGGAGGGGGAAGAGGAGGAGGAGGAGGAGGAGGAGGAGGAGGAGGAGGAGGAGGAGGAGCCGAAAATGGCCCAAGACCTCCCGCCCGGATTTTTCTTTGTCACGACGCGGTCCTGCCTGGGCAGGCCGGCCGGGGAGCGAGCACGTGCTGCTTGCTGCTGGTCCTGGCAAGCTTCGGCCACGGGCGGGCTGCCCCCGGCGCAGACTGCAGGGGCCCACGAACACACACACACACACACACACACACACACACACACACACACACACACACACACACACACACACACACACACACACACACACACACACACACACACACACACACACACACACACACACACACATACACACACATACACACATACACACATACACACATACACACATACACACATACACACATACACACATACACAGATACACAGATACACAGATACACACATACACACACAAATCAAATGCTTCCCCATACTTTCCTATCGTTTCTGAGTTTTTAACTTCCCCCCCCCCACACTTCTTATCTTTTCCCCTATTTTCCTGGGCATCGACGAGGACTTGCGTCTGTGTGGTTTTTGTCTTCCCCCCCACACACTTCCCATATTTTCCCATATCTTCCTGGGAATCGACGATTCCTTGTGTCTCTGTGTGTTTTTGTTGCCCCTCCTGGCAGATGCAGGGCTCGCCGGCGGCCCGAGCACCAGGGCCCCCCCCCCGAGCCTTCTTGGCTGGGCGCAAGGTGCAAGACTGGTCTACTCTGTAAGAACGGTTTTTTGAAGGCAGATCTGCCTTCAAAAAACCGCTCTTACAGAGTAGACCAGTCTTTCCTCTTTGAAGGCAGATCTGCCTTCAAACCACCTTTCTTACAGAGTATCCTCGGCGCCCCGGCGGCGCCGAGGGCCCCCCTCGTAGCCCAAGGAGCTCCCCGGACAGCCGGCCGCGCCGACTGATTTGACCACCTCCCAGACCCCCTCGGGCCCTGCGCGCCCCCCGGCACCCCGCCGCCTCGGGGGCGTAGAATTAGATTCGGCTTCCAGGGCCGCGCAGATTTTTGGAGCCGGGTTCGGCTTCCAACCCAGACCCCCTCGGGCCATGACAAGATCACGACGGGAAGTTTTTCGCCACGTTCGGCCTCCGGGGGTCCTCACCGCGGGCCTCGGGGGGACCGTCAACAAAAAGATTCAGAGGAGGAACAAACAGGTCCTGGGGAACCAGGCAGCCGGCCGCGCCGACTGATTTGACCACCTACCATGGCCACCCCACCCCGACCCGAAGACCCGAATTTCGGGTGGGGGGGGTACGGGTTCCACACGCGCGTTCCCAGGATTTGCTCCTCGACCCCCCCCCCAACTGGAGATGGAGGGCACCTGGAGGCCTTCCGGCTGTCTCGGGGTGGCTCGGCGGGTGGTGATTCTGCCCACGACGCGAGCACCTCTGGGTCTGCGGGCCTGGTGCGAGCGGGAGGCGGCGCCCGCGAGCTCCGCGCCAGCACCGGGGAGCGCACCGCCCGGGCCCGTCCTATTTCGGGGCCAGCCTCCCCCCCCCCCGACCGGAGACCCAGACCCACCCAGGGGCATGAGAAGTAGCCAGCAGTCAAAGATCAACGATAGGAGCAGTCAAGCATTTAGGCAAAACTGGGGCATGAGGAAAAACATAACCGCAAAGAATCAGGCATGGAACTAGAACCCCAAAAGACCACAGGAAATCGTCACCAGGCTCTTTTTTGTTCTCCCTACTCTCGACTGCTCCTCCTGCGGAGGGACACGCCAGACGAGCAAAGGGCGGCCCCCCGCGCGACCGGAGGCCCAGGGGCGCCGAGGGCTCCGCCCTGGGATCGGCCAGCGAGAATCGGGGAGCGGCCCAAAAGGGGGGCGTCCAAGAGGGGGGGGGGTGCAAGTCATGGCCGGCGGCAGGTGCGCGGCCCAGGAGGGTGGGGGGGGCAGGGACGCCATAAGAGATGAGAAGAGGCGCCGCGCAATCTGAGGAAATGCCATGGCCCCCGCCATGAGATCCCCCCCCCCCCTTAAGTCATCATCCCCCCCCCTTTGCCGCCCCCGAGAGAGGGCGGGCGGGCACAGCCCGCGCGGGGCCCGGACGAGCCCCGGAGGGCCGGGCAGGCAGACTGCAGGGCGCGGAGGAAGTCCTGGGGCTGCCCCGTCCGCACGGGGCGCGCCGCCACGGATGCCGAGCCCGCCGCCGCCTCCCTCGGTGGGGAAAACACACTGTGGGAAAACACACACACACACTGTGGGGCCCCCAAAAAAAACGCACTGTGGGAAAAAAATATACACAGTCTGTGGGAAAAAAACACACGCAGTCTGTGGGAACAAAAAAAACACACAGTCTCTGTGTGTGTTTTTTCCCACATTGTGTATGTGTGTGTGTGTTTTTCCCCCCACGTGTGTGTGTGTGTGTGTGTTTTCCCACAGGGTGTTTTTTCCCACGCACGCGTCTGGACGCCCGGCACGGGCACGGAAGAAACAAGTGTTGTCCCAAACCAACAGCACATGTTGTCCCAACAGCAGATGCTGTCCCAAACCAACAGCGACCGCTGTTGGGCAGGCGGCCTTCTGTCTCAAATGGACACAGGCCGCGGCGGCGCGGACAGCGAGTCCGGCTCAAAATGAACAGGAACTGCTGTTGGGCCTTGTACCGATTCTTTCCGTACCCATTGCGTTCGTGCAGAACGCAAGAGTGACCCCAGGCTCATGTTGCTCCCATCGCACTTACGGACCACACCCCAGAAATAATTTCGAGCACCCAGAAAAGGGTCGAAACAGTGTCGAACGAGCGCGTCCCAGGGCCCGACACGTGAAAACCCCAGAGTTTCGGTGGTTTTCTTGGTGCTCGGAGTTTTTCTGGTGATCAAGAATAGGAAGTAGGTTGGAACGTCATGACCTCGGGCGTGAACCCCAGACCCCAGACATCCAGTCGCTCCAATGTTTGTGGCGTGGGCCCCGGAGGTCCGGACCACTTCGATCTGGGGTCGGCTTGTCGTCCCGGCTCTTCTTGTTTGCGCTCCCGAGGCCTGGCGAGGGCGCCTCCAGCGGCCGAGAGAGAACCTCCAACCCCGCCGCTCCAGGTGTTGGTGTGGCGTCGGATCGAAGGTTAGGTCGGGCGTGTCATGTTCAATCGCGGACAGTGTATTTCTTGCCTGCGAGTGTCTCATTTGCGAGGCTGGGCCCATGCTTCAGTGGTCTCATAGCTCAGTTAGTCAGAGCGTTCTGCTAATAACCGAAAGGCCCGCGGTTCAAGCCCGCGTGGGACCACTTCTCCTGCATGCGGATTGTCGACGGAAGAGAGAATAGCCACAGCAGAATCGACGAATTTCCCAAAACGGTCAGGACACATCGTCCCCCGACTGTTCTTTGACAACTCTGGAGCATTCCTCCTTTGCAGAGCGACAGGCCCGACTCACAAATCCGAGGGTCCGTCCTCACTGCGGGCTCTGACCGCCGCGGCGCCCGCGCACAAGAGAGCGCCTCCCGAGGGGCACCGCCCGCCGCCCCGCGGCCCCGTACCTCGGCCGTGCCGCGACGTGGCCGCGGGCGCGCCGAAGGGGCAAGGACTGAGTCGGGCGTGTCCCTCTACGGGGGGAGTGCCGAAACATAGACTTAAACAGTTAGACTGGGGGCGATTTTGCAAAACAAATTACAAAGTTTGAACACGGTTTGGTATTTTCACCCATTCCTTCAAAATCTGCCTGTATGGGGCACATGCCCGACCTAAGGCAAGGACACGAGTTATGTGGCTCCCATCGTGCTCAGGGATCCCGTCCCAGAAATAATTTCGAGCATCCAGCAAAGTATCTCGAAACAGTGTCGAACGAGTGATATCGCCCCCCAGGGCCCGACACGTGCAAACTCTCCGATCTCGGTATCTTCTTGTGGTGCTCCAGAATTCTCTCTGGTGATCAAGGCTGCAGCAGGTTAGGCCATCATAAGATACGAGGAGCATACCCTCCCCGACAGTCGCCGATACGATCTTCGGGAGCGGCCAAGAGGGGGGTGTCCAAGAGGGGGGGGGGGGGGGGGGGGGGGGGCAAATCATGACCGGCGGCATGTGCGCGGCCCAGGGGGGGGGCCAGGGACGTAATGAAATAAGAAAAGGCGCCATGCAATCTGGGGAAATATCATGGCCCCCGCCATGATGTCCACCCCCCCCTAGTCATCCACCCCCCTCTTTTCCGCCCCCGAGATCTGCTCGGTGCCCAGAGGAGCCGACGCCCCGAGATGTCACACCGGAGCGGCGGGAGCTCTCGGCAGTGTGCTCGGCCTCCGCGGGGGGCCCCCTCGCCGGGCCTCGGGCGCACCAGAAAACGTCCTCCTCCTCCTCCTCCTCCTCCTCCTCCTCCTCCTCCTCCTCCTCTGACCATTTCGTGAGGGTGCAGGGCTCGGGGTGAACTCCGCCTGGGCTTCTGCACCTCGAGAACCGACCCGTCTGGCGATTCACCTTTTGCAGGCTCAGGCCTCGACGCTCCATCGACACGGCACTTCAGACTTCACACTTCAGCCGAAGAACATGCTCGAAGTTGGGCGTGGCTTTATGGGGGGGTCACAAATGGGGGGGTCAAAAAAGGTCCCCTTTCGTGCCCCTTTCGGGCCCCTCCAGAGCCCCAGGGGGCTCGTTTAGGTACCATTTGGGTA